TATTATGTTTTATCTAGAAACAAGCACAGGGTGGTGGGGCTTCTCGAAGACGACGCTCTTCCAAGGACACTGTGGTTGATAAGGTTGATTAAATTAAAAGCCACATACTCATATTTCGGGGGTTTTTTTGTTTTGTTTTCTTTTCTTTTTGAGACGGGGTCTCGCTATGCAGTTCAGGCTGGTCTTGAACTCGCAAGGATCCTCCTGCCTCAGCCTCCCGAGTGCTGGAATTACAGGCGTGAGCCACTATGCCCGGCTCATATTTCGTTTTTAAATTTTGTAAAATAACAACAAGGTAGACCAAAAGAAAACAAAATGTGTTCCTTGACAAATATAACAAAGAATTTCATTGATGGTGAACTCCCGATACTGTAGAGAATGGAGGCAGCGTTGCGGCGCCCTCTGGTGGTGCTGTGGATAACGCCTTCCCCCAAAAAGGCTTAAATCCAGGAGGTAGCTCATATTAGTTCAAATGCAATTTCAACTGTTAGAAAGTGGATTAAAATGTCCGTGAAAGAGATATACTCAAGGCACACCTAAAACATTTTTTATACTCCCATGTGCCTTCTGTACTAACTGGTATTTTCTGTTGTACATTGAGAACAAACTGATTCTGGAAAACAGTTCTGCAGTTCCTTTGAAGCAGAGGCATACGCTTGTACATGGCGCTTCCAAGCACTCTCGGACATGTAAAGACAAGCAGAAGCTGACATCCACAAAAGTTTGGGCATATCTGGGCACGGTGGCTTACGCTTGTAATCCTAGCACTAAGGAAGCTGTGATCAGATGGATTCTCCTCTCTTCTTTCCCTGTATTGATAAATGAGTTTATTCAGCCTCTTGGAGGCCAAGAGCCACGTGAGGAGATCTGTATCCTGGGACCCGCCCTCTTCACCACCTCTGTCCCTCTTACTCTCTAATGCCACAGTATGCAGGATGCCTGCCTCACTCTTGTTCTTTTAGGAACCCAGGTTTAATTAGCCCATTTTCAGTCATTATCAGAGCACTTATAACTATGAGAATGAGGCAGGAGGATCACTGTGAATTCCAGGACAGCCTGGGTTAGACAGTAAGTAGACGGCCTAAAGGATATAGTGAGACTCCATCTCTAAATAAATAAATAAATAAAACCTGGCCATAATTATGTACATAGCCTCTGATTTTTAATAGCTAAACCATTTACCAATGAATGAAAATAAGAATGCTAAGTATCAAAATGACCAGATACAACTAAAATCAAATTTAGAGGAAAATTTCCATAGTTTTGATAATTAAGGACTCAGAGAAGAGGACAGGTCCCAGGATACAGATCTTGTCACATGGCTTTTTCTGTGGACTTGATCTCCAAGAGGCCAAATGAACTCATCTGTCAATACAGAGAAGTAAGACAGGAAAATCCATCTGATCACAAGCTCTCCCGATGGAACCTATTTCCAGCACTTCTGTGCTGCAGGGAGGTGAGGATCCAGGCAGAGCAGTCATCACAGGAAGCTGACAAGTCGGGGAATCCAGCTGGAAGGATCTATATGGACTTCAGAGGGCCTGATATACTCCAAATAGTTTTTAGTTAGCCAAAAAAAAGTGTTTAAAAGCAGAAAATAAACAGAAAACAAAGAACAAATGATTTTGTATTTCAAAAACTACAGGTAGGTCCAGGGATTTAGCTCAGTGTCATAAGCACCTGCCTGGCAAGTGCAAGGTCATGAATTCAATCTCTGGTACAAAAAAAAAAAAACAGAAACAAATAAGCCCACAGGTAACTAAATATGAGAAATTAAGGCAATCACCCCTTTTCAGAGTTTGTATGATTAATATGTGACCCTTTGTGCATATCAGCTGAAGAGCATGACACTCAGGGACACAAATATGTTTTCCTTTCAAGTATTCACTCATTCATCTGGGTGCCCTCACACACACCCAGGGCAGCAAACAGCCTGCGGCCCTGCACATGTAAGGAGCTAGCCCTCCACCCAGGATCATCATACACGTGCATCCATTCCTGTGACTTGAGAACAGTCTTCCTGCTTTCCATCTTTACAGGCTGCGTCTTGCTCCCCACCCCTATTGTCCCATCAGCGCCTGTGGCCTATTTATTACATTTATTGGAAGAATTTATTTTTATTCCTTAAAATTCACTGTTTAGTTTTATAGTGATTTTCCCTCTGTCCCCGTATTAGAGGAGGGCTCTTTCAAGGCTTTCTTGCCTTCTCTTTGTTTTCTCACTCCTCCCAATACTGGAGATTGAGCCTAAGGCCTTTGTACTGCATTACTACATCATCAGCCCAGTTTCTTCCATTTTTGATTTTGAGACAAGGTCTCACTAAGTCATTAAACTGCCCAGACTAGCCTTGAACTTTTGATCCCCCCCTCAGCCTCCCAGAGTCCTACGTTACAGGTGTATCCCATCATGCTACAACATACAAATAAAGAAACTGCAACAGGAATTTGGATATAGACCTAAATGAGTTTCTTACAAATGGCATTATATTCTGAGTTTCACAGCTCAGAAGATGGAGTCTTCTTGCAACCCAGTAGGATGTTAAAATATACCATGGATGCACCTATGAGGTTGTAAGAGCCTGAGAAACTGCTCACCATATGTCCCAGAACCTGCTGGCCTAGGGAAGGTGCTGAGAATACAGCCCAGGTGCCCAGCATGGCGGCTACCAGCCTGCTAATGGATTTCAGTATCACAGTGATCATTTCTGCCAAACCACTGGCCTAAGGCTGCCATTAGCGCTGGGCCTCTGTGCTCTTACCTGTTTTGAAATCCACACTTGATTTCTAAATTGGAGGTAGCAAAATGTTTCAGCAAAGTGGCAGGCTATGATTATTTTGCCTGTGTAGGTCGCTCACTCAATTCTGCATTACAGCATCAAAGCAACAGAAAACAGTCAACAGATGCATGTGGCTGTGTCCCAATGAAACAGTTCCTGTAAGAGTAGGGGTTGGATACAGCAACCCCAGCCACCCGTGACTTACTGATGTCTCCTGCTTGTATCTCCAATCTAGACCTCTCCACTCCTCCTGGGACACAGACATTTCCTAAAATACGTAGCTTATAAGTCTTGATATTCCACCTGTCCCAGATGTGGTCAGTAGCATTCAGCTTCCATTCTACTTATTTTCCTGTATTTTAGAACTCAAAAGCAACACATTTTGCAGATTCCCTTGCAGCTGAATACTGGGAGATTGTTGGGTTAAATACACCTACATGCAACAGGAAAACAGAAGTAGCCAGCAAGGTTCCTTCTGTGCATGACTGCGGTCTCTGAGACACAGGACCAAGCACAGGTGCCAGGTTGGAGGGCCTAAAAAGGCCATATCTCTAGCCCAACTGTGCTGCTGGCTGGCCCTTTGGGCATGGGGCATTGACCACACCTGTAGGGATTGCATTGGGCTGGAAATAAATGTGGCTGCCATCTGGCTGCTGACGACGTTTTACCACATATTGCCAGTTCCTCAGTTCCTTCCAGTTTTTAAGAAGACAGAAATTTAGATTTTATGTAATGATGGATGAAAATTTTAGAGAGAATTTTATGAGCTAGCAAAAACATTTGTATCGTCAGATTTTGACTGAGCGGACTGTTTGCAATCTTGGACATTGTGTTGTTAAACAATGACAATAAATGCAAATAAAATTTAAAGTGTTACTTATTCTAGAGTAGAAGGCATGAGAGAATGGCAGTGTGTACGACTGCAGTAAATTACAATAGTGAACCCTTATGTAAATATTTTAAAATTTAAATATTCCAAAAAGATGTCATCAGTCTTGGACACCATGATGGTATGAAGTCACATTTGAGGCATGTTGTTTTCTTTTACTTTTTAAACAATAGGGCATAAATTAAAACCAAAAATCAGCAATCAGCACAACAGTGAGTACATTTAGAGAGATCTGCCTTATGAGAGATTTTCCATCTGCTCATCTGAATTAGTACTGTCAGCAGCCTGGATATAAGTTTGCTGGCACAACTGTTTGGGGCTCTTACTTTGAAAATCCTGGTTAGTAAGTCATCAATGTAGCTGGGCTTGCTGGCACATGCTGGTAACCCCAGCAGGAGACCGAGGCAGGAAGATCACCATAAATTGAAGCCCAATCTGAACTACAGTACATAGTGACACCGTGTTTCCAAAACAAAAAATTTAAATTTAAAAATGAAGTATTGGAGCCAGAGACTTAGCTCAGCAGCATAGGCACTTGCCTGGCAAGTGTGAGGTCATGAGTTCAATCCCTGGTAGCAAAACATAAAATAAAATAAAAATGAAGTATTAATTCAAATTTCATATATTTGAAATAATCAATTGAATTTATAATTACAGGTGTGTATCACTTGTAATGCCCATCTTGAGTTCTTTTTCATCCAGAAGTTTTTAAAAAGACAATTTTTCATCCTTTTCTATTTTATAGCTCGGTTACAATTGTATTGTAGTATGATTAAGTCCTGTGTCCTACCAAATCCCTTTATTCAATTTGCATGATTATTTCTTGGTCTGATTTCTTTTTACAAATATTCCCCGAGCTTAAATATATAAAGTTATCTCCACATATAAACTGAGCTTGCTGTGTGAATCATTTCTTTATGCTTTCTTCGTCTGCAGACCGCCTAACTCTGGAATGGGTGCACTAAACAGGTGGAAGGGTACAGCCCCTTCTGGTTTGTGGTGGAGCCTGGGCCCCTCCCCAGCAGCCAGACCCAGCAGAGGCGGGGTGAACGCTGTGTGTGACAGTCCGGTTGCCTGGAAGCAGCTGGGGACACAATGGGGCTTGGGAGTTGGGCCGGGGTAGGGTGAGGTGTCCAGCTACCCTGCTTTGTCCTTCAAGCCAGCAGGTCAGTGTTCCCCGGCTGCCTCATTAGGCCATGCCCCATATCCTTCCCCAGGGCCCCCAAACCTCCTGCCCGCACCCTGAATCCGCAGAATTCCCTTCCCACGTCTGGGTCTACACACGGTGCCATTTGGGGCAGAGATGGGAGGGCTGCGGAGCTCGGCTCCTGGCCCCGTCCTGCTGCGCCAGGAGCCCTTTTGTCCCCGGTTTGTTTCCTGAGTGCCCAGGCTACGCGCCCTCCACCGGCGAGCGGAGCCAGAGCCGGGGCCTCCGGAGCCGCTGCCTCCCGCCCACAGGTGCAGCCACCACACTATGGGCTCCGACGTCTGGGTCGGGCCGTGGCGGCCTCACCGACCCCGCGGCCCCATCGCCGCGCTGTACCGCGGTCCCGGGCCCAAGTACAAGCTGCCGCCCAACACCGGTAGGGGCGGCGGGGACGTGGGGGCGGCCGGGGAGCAGGAGGTGGGCGGGCAGGGTTAGGCGGGAGCTCGGCCCGGGAGACCGCAAGGGTGGGGACAGCGGTGGGCGGGAGCGCCCGGAGTGGGGCGGCAGAGCCCGCTCACGCTGCCCCCACCCCGCAGGCTACCTTCTGCACGACCCTTCGCGGCCGCGCGCTCCCGCCTTCACTTTTGGTCTGCGCCTCCCGGCGCAGCAGACGACGTGCGGCCCGGGGCCGGGCCACCTGGTGCCGCCTCGAATGACCGCGCGCGGCGCTGGCGGCGGCCCAGCTTACTCCATCCAGGGCCGCCTGCGACACTCGACACCCTTCCGCACTCCCGGACCGGGTCAGGACCCCTGGGGCCTTGGCCTCCTCAGGGAGGGCACCTGAAGACCCCCCTGGATCCCAGGGCCCCTTGGCATCCAAGCACCCCACATCCACACCTCAGTCCAAGAATTCCCCAGCTCATGGCAAAAAAAAAAAAAAAAAAAAGAAGTTTAAAAGCTGGGGATTTAGCTCAGGGGCATAAGTGCCTGCCTGGCAAGCGCGAGGTCGTGAGTTCAATCCCCAGTACCGCCAAAAAAAGAAAAAAGTTTAAAAAAAAAGAATCCCCCAGGCCCCACAGGGTTTGCCAGGATTGGCCAGACCCCCGTCCCAGTCCCCAAATCCGCGCCCGATCCACACCCATGTGTCCCGCAGGCAGGTACTTCACAGAATGCGCGGGGAACGCCACGTACCCCAGCGCACCTCGCTACACCATCGCCCCCCGCAACTGGGGTGTTCAAGCCTGGCAGCAGACCCCAGGTGAGAATGGAAAGCCCCATTTCTGCATCTCGACTCCCAGCCACCCCTGGGCAGACCGAGCAGACCCTCACACTCCTCCCAGGCCCAGCGACCTACACGGTGCCCTCCCTCCTGGGCCCGCGTGTCGTCAGCAAGGTCTCGGCGCCCACCTACTCCATCTACGGCCGCAGCGCGGTGGGCAGCTGCTTCGAGGACCTCAGCAAGGTTCGGGGCAGCGCGCACGGGATGGGCCTGGGGCCAGGGCCAGGCCCGGGAGACGCAGTAGAAGCCACGACTTCTGCCCTCCCGCAGAGCCCGGGACCCTGCGCCTACCACGTGGTAAACCCCGGGATCTACAAGACTCGCGCACCCCAGTACACGATGCTGGCGCGGACTTCGCCCCCGCGGGACAACACGCTCAAGCCAGGGCCTGCGGATTACAACGTGAACCAGGTGGTCTGGAGCTCAAGGACGAGGGTCCTGGGCGGGGTGCGAGACCTAGGGCCCGCGAGGATCGGGGCCTCGGGAACCGCGGGCCCCGGGAGGTCAGCGGAGTCTCCTGGGTCCGCAGCACCGGAAGCCCAGCGGCTGGAGCTTCGGAATCCGCCACTCGGACTACGTAGCCCGGATGGTGACCGACGCAGACAAGTGACTCGGCAGGCGGGCAGCCCTTTGCTTAAAGTTTCTGAGCCAGCAGCGACTCTGCCTCTCTCTCTGCGCCGTACGCAAGGGCAGGCCTTGTAGAAGTGGTGGAGGGGGGACGAGGACGCGCGCCGCTGGGTGGGGAACGGACGCCGAGCGCGCGGACGGTGGAGAGCCGCAAGCCCTGCGCCACAGACCGGAAGTCCTGCGCTCGCCGGGTAGCTCGAGATTGGCAGCAGCCCGGGAAGCCCCGCCCCCAGCCGCCACTATTTCAGATCTCGCGCCCGGGGGCCAGTGACCGGGTGTGCGCAGCCTCAGCGTCTCGGCACCTGGTGGCTGGCGACGCGCGGCGAACTGTAAAGGAATCGGAGCCATACGGGCGAGGGCTGCCATAATAAATAGGTACGGGCGGAATCGAGCAGACACGGGACCTAAGGGTGGACGTCATACAGCAGAGCAGGGTCGGGACAAGTGTGTGTAACCGCAGAGACACGGGATAAGGTTCCAAGGTGTCTCCTTCACCGCAGGCCCGGAGCAATGGCAGCCCCGGGAACCCGGGTCCCACCTTCCCATGTACCAGGTGGCTTTTCAGGGGAAGGGGGACGGGGACCTCCCGACGGCGCTGCTCGGCCCAAGCAGCTCCCTGAGCTGATTCGCAAGAAGCGAGACGGAGAGCGCCTGAGTGAGGAGGATATCAGGGCCTTCGTGCGTGCGGTGGTGGACGGCAGTGCACAAGACACGCAGATCGGTGTGTGGGGAGGGCTGGGCACCCTGAACCTGACCTGGACCCCCTTGCCCACTGCCGCACAGAATGCCTAGCCCCAGCCTGGGACGCCACTGTGCCCACCCGCCGCCCCGCCCCGCCCCGCCCCCCTCCGCCCCCCTCCAGGATATTCTTACTATGGGAACGCCTCTCCCCCCACACCGTGTCCGTGTCTAGGGGCTATGCTGATGGCCATCCGGCTGCGGGGCATGGATCTGGAAGAGACTGCTACATTGACTCAGGCCCTGGCCAACTCTGGGCAGCAGCTGGAGTGGCCAGAAGGCTGGCACCAGCAGCTGGTGGACAAACATTCCACAGGGGGCGTGGGTGACAAGGTCAGCCTGGTCCTGGCACCTGCCCTGGCTGCATGTGGCTGCAAGGTTAGAGACTAGTTCTTTTCCAGAACCTCTGACCCCAAAAGCAAGCAACCGGGCCAGCCACAGGCAGCTCCCAACCTCAAGTCTGACTCAGACAGAGCCCCCAAATAAAGAATCCCTCTTGTTCCACCCAACCCCAAAACAAAACTAAGACCAAGGTACAAATTCCTTCACTCTCCCTCTGTACCCAGCAGAGGAAAAGTTGGATATTCCTGTGTCCCTCAGGTGTCTGCCCCCAGGAATGAGTCCAGGTATTTTTGTTTTTGTTTTTTTGGACTAAGGATTGAACTCATGACCTCACGCTTGCCAGGAAGGCGCTTAAGCTATTGAGCTAAATCCCCAGCCCAAGTCCAGCTCTTATACACATACACACACACAGAGCCAAGACAATTTATTGCCCATTCTCTCTTCACTAGCTGGAAACCCACTTGGTATTCCTTCCTACCAGGTGCCAATGATCAGTGGAAGAGGTCTGGGGCACACAGGTGGCACCCTGGATAAGCTAGAGTCCATTCCTGGATTCAATGTCATCCAGAGCCCTGAACAGGTATGGGTAGGGGCATGGACTGGTCCTTGATGTGGGCTGCCAGGAGACATGGGCCATTATAACTGATAAACAGTTTACAAGAACTGAAAGGGTGATAGTCACTGAACTTGAGTCAGAGTCATCAGCAGAACTTTGACCAAGATCATTCCTGGGGACTTGGGTTGCTAATCATTAAACAGCCACTGATCTTTAATGCCAAGCCAAAAGTCAGTCATTGCTGAGAACTTAACAAATCACCTTAGGTCAGTGACAGTCATTGGTCAGAGTTCTGGGCCTTTTCTGAGTCACTGATGAGGATCAGTGATGGGACCCTTCCTCAGCGCTCATCTGCGGGTGGGTTCTGACCAGATGCAAAGGCTGCTGGAGGAAGTGGGCTGCTGTATTGTGGGTCAGAGTGAGGAGCTGGTTCCTGCAGATGGACTCCTGTATGCAGCACGAGATGTGACCGCCACCGTGGACAGCCTGCCACTCATCACAGGTGACCTGACCAGACTCTCAGGACTTCTGCGTATTAGACTCCTGACCTCCAACCTCATTGCCAAGGCCCGCCTATTATGGGTGACTAGACTGTGGGACACTCCCCCATCATAGGTCTCCTTATCACAAGATGCCTGACCACCAACTTCTGGAAATGGCTTTCCCAGCACACAACCCATAAGACACAGCCACCCCCATCGAGGAGGCCAGCCCCCAACTCCTGGAAATGGCTTGCCCAGCACACAACCCATAAGGCACAGCCACCCCCATCGAGGAGGCCAGCCCCTTCTGACCTCTCTGCCTCCCCTGCAGCCTCTATCCTCAGTAAGAAAGCCGTAGAGGGACTTTCTGCTCTGGTGGTGGACGTTAAATATGGAGGGGCCGCAGTGTTCCCTGACCAGGAGCATGCCCGGGAGCTGGCAAGGACACTGGTGAGCCTGTCCCTCCTTGCTGAACGTGACCGCCCACTGAGCAGTCCCTCCACAGCTCACTGCCCAGCACTCTTTCCTAGTCAAGGCTTCCTGGCTTGTGCCTTGAGAAACTCTCCAAGGGCTATCCACGGCCCCAAGCCAGGGAAAAGGTCCTCCTGATCGTCCCCGTCCCCGTCCCACCTGGCACAATGCTGTGCTCTGGTCCCCAGCCAAGCCTTCCCTGACCTCATTAAGGGAGGGTTGGCACCCGGGGTGCGACAGGACGGGAGTAAGGTGATAGTGGGCTACAGGAGACCCACGAGACGTCCACACGGGCCACCCTCCACAGGTAGGCGTGGGGGCGGGCCTGGGGATGAGGGTGGCAGCTGCACTGACTAGCATGGACAATCCCCTGGGCCGCAGCGTGGGCCACGCCCTGGAGGTGGAGGAAGCGCTGCTCTGCCTGGATGGCGCGGGGCCGCGGGACCTGCAGGACCTGGTCATTCGGCTCGGTGAGGCGGGCGGAGAGGGAGGGGCCCTGGCTACTGGGCGGCTCGCCGCATACCGTAGCTAAATCCGCGGCGCCCGCCGGTAGGTGGCGCCCTGCTCTGGCTCAGCGGACAGGCGGAGGCGCAGGCGCAGGGCGCTGAGCGAGTGGCCGCGGCACTGAACAACGGCTCGGCAAGGGGCCGCTTCGAGCGAATGCTCCAGGGGCAGGGCGTGGAGCCGGGGCTGGCTCGAGCGCTGTGCTCCGGGACGCCGACGCAGCGTCGTCAGCTGCTGCCCCGCGCACCTGAACAGGAGGAGCTGCGCGCGCCGGCGGACGGTGAGCTCAGCTCCGCAGCCCCGCCCCTCCCCGGCCGGCGCGCCTTTTCAGGGCCCGCCTCACTTCCTGTGGGTCCCCGCAGGCACCGTGGAGCGCATCCAGGCGCTGCCGCTCGCTCTAGTGCTGCACGAGCTTGGGGCTGGACGCAGCCGCTCGGGGCAGACGATCCGGCCGGGGGTAGGCGCCGAGCTGCTGGTCGACGTGGGCCAGAAGCTGCGCCGCGGTAAGCCTTGCCTGGGACCTCGCGCCGTTCCGACGCCCCCGCCGGGCGCGGCGCCGTGACCGCGCGTCCTGACGTCCCCGCAGGAACGCCCTGGCTCCGCGTACACCTGGACGGCCTACCGCTCAGCACCCAGCAGCGCAGCGCCCTGCAGGGGGCCCTCCTGCTGTCTGACCGCGCGCCCTTCGCAGCCCCCTCGCCCTTCACTGAGCTGGTCCTGCCGCGGTCCTTCACTCAGCCCTAAAGCGGAGCAGCCCGGTAGTCCGGTGCGTTTGAAAACGGGCTGAGCACGTAATTTCCGCGGCGGCCGTTGCGCAAGCGCAGCGCCGTCGGTGCATGCGCTGTGGTGGTAAAATCCGGAGGACGGCGTCTGGACCGGGGCTGGAGCCCGGTGGAAGGGCAGGGAGGGATTCTGGCCTCAGGCTAGATTTGTAGCGCGGCTTCCAGGCCCTCGTTCCAGCTGGGGCCCCGCTTGGGAACACTGGGCATTGGCCCGGACTTAGCGCCCCGTGCTTCTAAAAAGGAAGCGCCAAGGGGGAAGGGAGGACCGGAAAACGTTGGAGAGAGTATTACTCTGGTGGCTGCAAACCAGCCATCCACACCCGCTTCAGAAAATAAGTTTATCGTAAATATATACTTGTGTTCAGAATTCTGGCAAGCTATCTACTGCTTTCCATTGAGATAAACGTCTCGCAGTACTACGCACACAAAGGACAGGGTGAAGTGAGACAGCCTAGGGATCCCATGTTAAAAGGACAGGAGTGACAAGTGTAGCACTGGATGTGCAAACATTTGGTGCCACCTAAGCTTGCGCTTACAGCCTCAGAGGTACAGCTCTGGCTTAGGGGAGCTGGCAGACAGCTGGGGGCCTGATGTGGAGCAGGAGGTCTCTCCAGGTTAGGGGGATGAAAGGTATTCTTGTCTTTCCTCCTGGCTCTTAATACGTTTGTTCTCTTCCAGGAGCATCAGGTCCATGTTGCTGTTGGCTCAAGGGTCCAAGGCTTGGCTCAGGCTCTCTCTGCTCAAGACCCCGATCTTCCCTAGGACTCTGGGAAGTAAAACCCTGAGTAAGAGGGCACAGCATTCGTCAGGACAGGGCTCTGAAGAGACTGGCCTGCCTCAGGGCCCTAAACTACGAACCAGGCTCCTGATCACTGCTCTGTTTGGGGCAGGGCTGGGTGGGGCCTGGCTGGTCGTCAGGGCTGAGAAGGAGCAGCGACGGCAGCAATGTCGCACAGAGGCTTTGCGACAGGCCGCTGTGGGTCAGGGTGACTTTAGCTTGCTGGATCACCATGGCCATACCCGCTGCAAGGCTGACTTCCGGGGTCAGTGGGTGCTAATGTACTTTGGCTTCACACACTGCCCTGATATCTGCCCTGATGAGCTGGAGAAGCTGGTTCAGGTGGTACAGCATTTAGAAGCTCAGCCTGGCTTGCACCCTGTGCAGCCCATCTTTGTCACTGTGGATCCTGCACGGGATAACGTTGCAGCCATGGCCCGATATGTGCAGGACTTCCACCCGAGGCTGCTGGGCCTGACGGGTTCTGCTGAACAGGTGGCCCAGGCCAGCCGTAGCTACCGTGTGTACTACAGTGCTGGCCCCAAGGATGAGGACCAGGACTACATTGTGGACCACTCCATTGCCATCTACTTGCTCAATCCTGATGGCCTCTTCACTGACTACTATGGTCGGGGAAGGTCAGCAGAGCAGATTGCAGACAGCGTGCGGCAGCACATGGCTGCCTTCCAGAGTGTCCTGTCTTGAAACCACTGCAGCCTGCGCTGTCATTAAACAAGGAGCATTTGTACTGAATCTGTACTCGGGCACCTCTGTGTGTGTGCGTGCGTGTGTGCATGAGTATGAGATCTGTGCCAGCAAGCATTTTTCAAGGTTTTTCTTAAGGGGTAAGTGGGATGACGACACTTTATTTTGCCCGGCCAGCCAGGAATCAATGGAGGAGCGAGCAGCCCCTTGGCACACAAGCTTCTGGGACAGGCTCCTTTCCCACACACTACCCCCAGCTTCTCACTCAGGGCTGGGCCATCGATGGGGCTGCATAGGTCTGGAAGCGCTTGTGGGCTCGCTGGTGTGTGAGCAGTCTCAGGGACATGGTATCCACAGCTGTCTCCAGCCCCGGCTGCTGACGGATCTCCACTGTGTAGTCATTGGCCTGCAGGGGCAAGGCATCAGCAGGGTCCAATGATCGTTTCCCCCGCCTGGATGTCCTAGGCCACTCACCAGCTGTAGAGAGGCCAGCATGGAGCGACACACCTCAAAGGCAGACTGGCCAGCTACAAGTTCCGCAAAGGGACACCACTCGTTGAGCTGGGTGAACCGTGACACCACCTGGTCCCCATAGGTGTGGATGTCAAAGGGCTCATGCTGCTCCTGAACAAAGGAGGGATGCATTGGCAATGGGTAGGGGTGAGGCCCTGGATAGACCCTAGGTAGGCAGTTCTGGCCTCCAGGTTACACCCATTCCTCACTTGCTCCTGCAACAGAGGCTGGATGGTGTCCTCCCAGTCCCTGATGCGCTGGCTGAGCTCTGTCTCCTGGACAAACTTCTGGGAGGTGGCAATGAAGAGCTCCTAGGGCAAAACCAAACCAGCTCAGGCTTAATAACTCAAAGACCTGGGGGGCCTTCAGCCAGCTCCCCCCACTCTGCCCAAACTTACCACATTCCTTCGAACCAGTTCCTCATACCTCAGGGACTCTGGCATGGCCTCTGCATCTGGGAAGGGCCAACCAAGATCTCTGTAGCTGTGGACTCCATCCTACCCTCCCTTCCCACAGCTCCTGCCCCTCAGCATACCCTGGCCAGCTGCTAGCTGGACCTACCCATGTCAGCAGCTTCCCCTGGTTTTGCTCCCTCAATTTCTACATCCTCTTCAGGCTCTAAAAAGTCATCTGTTAGAACACAGGAGGTGGCCTATGAGCTTGCAGAAGGTACTAAGCCTCACCCTACCCCAGCAGGCACCTACCAGCTGCCCCCAGGCCCTCCAAGGAATCCCCCAGGTGGTCATCTTCTGCAGGCCACATCTCTTCTTCAGTCCTGGGCAGCCACTGCTCAGCAGTCTGTCCAAAGAGGTATGTGAGGACACCATCACCTACTATCATTGACCTACAGAGTCCCAGACCCTGGTGCAGGGGTACTTGCCTCCCGCCTCTGCAGCTTCCGGAGGGTCTCCAGCTGCTCGCTAACGTGCTTCCAGTACAGTACCTCCATGTCTGCCAAAGAAACCTTGTGAGGGGCTCCTGCCTAGCTCAGGCTCTCACCAGTCTAGCCAAGGCCTTGGGTAACCCCACAGCAGAGGGTGTGGGGTGAAGAGAGCAAAGTAAGACACCTCCTGTGCACATCCTCAACATCCTAGGCCTCACCTGCAAAGGTAGGGCCCTTTCGCCGGGTCCTCCTGCTGTCGGCATGGTCAGCATCTGAGAACCCAGTCAGCAGGAGTCAAGCAAGGCCCTTTTCCTCACGATTCCCCACTCCCTGCTCCCAGGCAGATGAGGTGCACCCCACTCACAAGCAGCCAGGTACCACTGGTGGAAGTCCTGTAACTTGGTGGAGCCCTTCCTCTTGCGCTTCTGTCCTGGAGTCTCCTCCACACAGGTGGGCACAGAGTAGGGCTTACCTGGGCAGATAGGCTGTCTCAAGAGCAACCATGGATTAGGGTGCAGGGCTCACCCCTATCCCACTACCTTGCGCCCCAGCAAACTGGCTAAGGGACTTAAGTGGAGGTAGCCATACCCAGTTACCTTTCTTGAAGGGCTTGGAGTCCAAGGAGTCAAAGGGGTCCAGGCTCTGCCAGGGGTCTGAGGCCTCCTGAGCACAGTACAAGCAGACACTAAGGGGGAGTAGGGGGCTGCACATCTTCCCTCCCAAAGCCCAGGCACCAGGTTCAATCACATCTCCTGAAGAGACCAACCACACTCAACCCAGGACAACAAACATGATGCTCAAGGGAGGGAGATAGCCTAGAAATACAGAAGGGACTATAATTTCTGGGAGAAGGAAGATCTCCTTGAAAAAGTGCAAAGGGCCACAGAGGCTCTAAGCTGAGGTGGTACCCAAAGAGCAGCAGGTGGTACCCTTATGAACACACCCCTACCGGACATTGGATCCTGATACCCCTTACCTTCAGCCAGGACACAGTCTCTGGGGCCTCCTCTTGCTCCCACAGCATGTAACTCCTGGGCGGGGTGACACTCTGCAAACAGACCACAAGGGTCCCCTTTCCTGACCCTGGCACTGGGTTAGCCCTAGGGTTCATGTCAAGAACATTGTGGGAGGGGCCAGGGATACGGCTTAGTGGCGCAGCACTGGCAAGCACGAGGTCCAGAGTTTGATTCCAGGTCCCCAGAAAACAAGAACAGATAACACCATGGGGACCCCTCTTTAGGGCAAGAAATTTAAATAGTCAAGACTAAAAATTCCTGAGAAAAACTTTTGAACATACAAATACCTGCTGCAAAACTTTTTCTTCTTTAAAAAAATTGTATAATAACTAAGAAGTTGGACACAGTGGCACATACCCATAATTCCAGGATTTAGAGAGGCTGAGGCAAGATCGCAAATTTGAGTCCAGCCTGGGCAATTTAGCGACAACCTGTCTCAAAATAAGGGGCTGGAAATGTAGTTCAGTGGGGAGCACTCTTAATTACTTTGTGTGCTAGGAATTGACCCTGGGCCTCTCACATGCTAAGCAAGAGCTCTGCCATGGAGCTACATCCACGGCCCAGATAATGGATTGATTCAGACTGGTTTGGTTCTGTTTTACTAAGCAAGATTTTCTTAGCTGTGTGGGAAGTTGGACCCCTATTGATTCAGGGAGGACCAGAGGGCCCTCCAGATCCATCCTATCAGCCTGACCACAAGGGGCTGGCCTTGGAGAATAACTAGCAGCCCAGGTATCTTCAGTCCCATAGGGCTCACACCTTAAACACCAGCCTACCCTTCGGAACATGGGAGCTACTTTTAAAAGTTTGGCTGAAGACACCCGGGCTGGGGACAGGGTTGCATGAGCCTCATGTACAAAGACCAGAGAGGAGGGACAGAAACCAACAAGCCTAGAGCCAGTGCCACTGCCCTGTCCTCCCCATGTAAGCCATAGAGCAGGGCAGCCCTGTGGGGTCCCACCTGCTGGGGGCTCCCAGGCTCCCTGGGCTCCTGAGCAGCCTTGGGGGATGCAGCCTCTGGAAGCTCTGCTGCCTCCTGTGCATCCCCATCATCCTCATCCCCACTGCTGAGCACTGGCCCTTCTGGAGCAATGCCTAGAAAGGGAACAGGAAACCAGTAAGCTCTGGGAGCCAAAGTGCAGACACCAAGGTGGCTGCCCTGGCTGATGCCAGGGGAGCCCAAAAGGCCCCTCCCTCTTCTTGCAGAGACCCCAGCAGCACCTGACACTCTGTCATACTAGTATGCCTTGGTTCATCTTACTTCTTAGCAAACATTCCTCTTTCCATGCTGCCATCTATGTCTGCCTGGAGAAGGCCCAGGAGGGCAGTCACAGGGTGGTAACTGAGGCCCAGTAGCCGCCAGCCCTAAACCTGTCTGCTCCCACTACATGCTGCAGATCAGGGAGCAGGCTATGTGGGTAGGGAAGATGAGCACAGCCCCACCCCAGCCTGCCCACCCAGCCCTTCCTCCCTGGCCCCTGCTCAGTGCTGTCTCACCTGGCTCATCCTGGCAGGAGCCAAGCATAGGAACAGGACTGCTGCACCCAGAGACTTCCATTGGCTGCCCCTCAGCCCTCCTGGCATCTAAGAGAGATGGGGAGTAGGCAAGGTCCCTAACTAGTACCCAGTGAACCCCTCTAGAGGGCTAGCAGAAGGCAGAGACCCACAGGCCCCATACCCCAAATGAGACCAGCTGTGATCTCCAATCAAGGCGTAGAAAAAAATGGGAGAGAGGGACAAGCTCCAGCCAGCACATCCACTGTGAAGCAGGCACCTGAGGAGGGGCAGCTCCTGAGATCAAAGCTGGCAAGCATGGGATATTTGAAAGGAGCCCCCTCAAAAGATCTTTGACACAGTCCTTCCCACCAAGCCATGCATACCCAAGACCTCACCCTTTTGACTCCCTGGCATGGGACACAGGCCAACTGGCTCCAACATGAAGGCCCCTCTTGGATGGGGGGTGCAGGTATTCATCCTGAAGTCTTTCCGGCTGGCCAGGACCTCACCCTGGCGGCTATACTGGCAAAACACACCTACTGGAGAGACCCTTCCCAGGCAGGCCACCTCCTCCATATGGCTGGGCTTAGCACATACCTGTACAGGGGCCAGTTGTTCTTCTCCAGTTCATCAGGGGCCACCAGGGCCATGGGCAAGAGAGGGATGATGTGCAGCTCCTGCGGGCCAGCCAGGCATTGGGGCACAAGCTGTCTAACACAACCCTCCACACTCGACTAGATTAACACCTGACCCTACCCCAACCAACAGGGCAAACACTCACGCTGGGTGCCTGGTCACTCTTCAGAGTCAGATTGGCCCGCGACACAGGGAAGTCATCCAGTGACAGAAACTGTGGGAGACAAGAGCTCACAGCAAACGCTCAGGCAGGCACCTGGGGCAGGGGCCATGGGTCCACTCACCTCATCCTCTGCCTCATGTGGTACCCCAGAGTTGGAGGCCTCACCAGTCCCATCTTCCTGCACTGAGGAGAGCTGCTTGGCCCGCCTGAGAGAGAGCATCCATGGGCATCCAGGAGACTGCATGGTAAAGGCTTCTCCTTCCCACTCTGGCTCCAGTACTCACCTCTTGCCTGAGATGAAGTCAAGAGCTTGGTAGACCAGCGAGTAGAGGTACTCCAC